CCTCTGCCTCTGCCTCTGCCTCTGCCTCTGCCTCTGCCTCTGCCTCTTCAGGGTTGGCATTAAACACCACACCACCACACCCAGCTTAGTACTTGAATTTAACAGATGAAGACATGGAAGCACGGAGACGTTAAGCAACTTGGCCAAGGTGTGCAGAGCTGAGATTTGAATGCAGCTGGTTTCTCTGTCCTTCTGCCCTTTGATGCTGCCGCTCAGTTGCCATCACCTGACAGCTTCTGGCCAAGGCCTGGAACGTTTACTGTTCCAGAGCTAAAGTCCTGTTGTTGCATAGGAATGTCCTTTCGGCCAAACTGCCACCATCTTCAGGAGTTCTGCTGGGTCCTCTCAAAAAAGATCATCACAGCTTGTCCTGTTGACTATTTACCTTCTCTTATGGAAGGAGCCGTGGAGAGGTCATGGGACCCTCCCCTGAGTATCTAGCTACTCCACCACCCAGTTGAATGCAATTCTGCCCTAACTGTGCAGGGTCTTGGGGGAGGGAGAAGGGTGGGAGGGAGCTCCATTTGTAAAGCTGTAAGGAAGGCATTGTCTCTGCTGGGTGCTTCAAGTGTTGGCTTAAGGCCCATACCCCTTTGCCACTGCTCTGGAAGGAAACCTTGTAGTCGGTCTTAGCTACTTTGTGGGTTCTTTTTCTTCCCATCCTTTTTGGCCCCATTTCACCCCCTAACACTAGATAGCAGAGAAAGCAGAGAGTGATCTCTGAATTTAATTTCTTGCTTTTTTGTTTCTTCTTTCTCCTAGCTTGTCTTTGCTACTCTGTGTGTTCTTCCTTTATCTACACTTTACCCACTCCCATGTCACCCCCTCACTGGATAAAAGAGAAAGACAGAAAGGGAGAGAGAGAGAGAGAGAGAGAGAGAGAGAGAGAGAGAGAGAGAGCGAGCGCTAAAGACCCCTGAATCTAATTTCTTTCTTCTTTGAGCATGATTACTAACAAACTGAGACCAACAATCACCAACCCTGCCTGGAGGGGGCCCTAGCATTTATAGACCCTCTGAAAATTTCCCAGAATTCCAAACATCACACAATCACAGAAACTATCTACAGCTGGCAAAACCACACCTCTGCTAGAGCATGAGGCAAATCATAGTCAGTTGCTGCAAAGCAGCCCCGTATCTCACACCTGGGATTAAAACAAAAACACAGTCTTATAGTATTTCTGTGTGTGTATGTGTGTGTGCGTATGTGTGTGTGTGTGTGTGTGCGTATGTGTGTGTGTTTATATAAAGAAACCAAAACTCCAGAATTCTCATTAGAAAGCCTAATAAACTCATTGGATCCCCAGTGAACTTTGGTCAAATAGCATCTCAAGTTATTGTTGGGGTCTTAGGAGGGGAAAGGATTTCAGCAACTCTCACACAGCCACATCCTGGTCTCTGCTCTTTGGGGGCCTCCAGTGACACCTTGTGTTCAGTTCAGTAACTCACTGATATGGACAATTCCAAGGAACACTCACCTCGGACAGTGTAGCCAGGAAGCTGAAAGGGGCAGCACCATGTGGTTGGTGTGGAGCTCACTTATTCACAGCAGTGATCGTCTGGAGACAGGCCTGTGGCGGGCATTCTGTGGGTATTACCCTATCTAACCCTGACGGTAACTGAGCAAGGCAGCTATTCAGGCCTCACAGGAGAGCACAGACACACTGAATGCCCAGCCGATCCTCTTCTTAGGCTTGATCTGGCCCATTTACATAAGTCTTACTTCGGCCAAAGATGGCTGTCTCCTGGTTGTCTTCCTATCTCTCTCCTCCAATGACAAAGGAGCATATGAAGTTCTTTGTAAGCTGGATCCTAGTTATACACTCTGACCTCGAAGCTAGGAGTGTGTTAGTGACCAGCCTCCTCACTGGAAAGGTAGAACTGAGGGACTAATTAAAAAAGAAAGTCCCTGATTATCCTGGTGAGCATCAGAAGTCGACTTAACTTGGCCTGAGGGAGTCTCAAGTGAGGGATCACCTGGGTCATTTTGGCCTGTGGCCATGTCTGGGAAGGTTGTCTGGATTGTAGAATGACATAGGAGGGTCCAGAGTAAGCAGGTGGACCTGGCTATGTAAGAAACTAGCAGTGCATGAGCCTGGGAGCGAGCCTGGGAGCAAGCCTGGGAGAGAGCCTGGGAGCCAATTAGAGAGCAGTTCCTCCATATATTTGCTTCAAGCTACTGGCTGGAGTTTCTGCCCTGACTTCCCTCTGTGACAGACTCTGGCTTGAAAGTGTAAACTAAGTTAACCCTTTCCTCCCTATGTTATTTTTAGAATGTTTTATCACTGCCACAGAGAGGAAACCAGCTAGTTCCCCACTCCCAACTGCTACAGACTTGAGATCTGCACAAAGCAGGACCCTCCCAGACCCTATAGGAAAGTCTCCCCAGGAAGCTTAAAGGAGGCCAAACACCTCCCCAGGCAAACAGGGCAGTGCAGTGCAGGCTGGTTGCTAGGGCCGTTTGTGTTCTCTCATACCCAAACTGAACCCAAATACTGGCAGGAAACCCCCTTGCTCCAACCTCATGCCTGCCCCGATGACCCAGGAGGAAACCACAAAGCTATTTACTTAGCAGCCTTCAAAGCTGGCTTTTCCTTTCCCTGCCAAGCTGCCTGTGCCCTGTCCAGGTCCAGCAGCAGTGTGTGATCAGAAGCAGGCCATTACCAGGTATCCTTGCAGGATACTGCCCAGCCATGCTCAGGAAAGCACATCTGTCCTGGAGCATGTTCGTGTGTGGTCTTAGAAGGTATGTCTCTGGGCTTGGTTTCGTGACTCGGGGAGATGTCATTAGTCTAGACCGTGTAGAAACATGACAGTTTTGTGATGAGGCCAAAGTTTACCTTTGGGAACTCTAGGAGGGAGCTGGTGTCTAAGCAAATGGACTCTCATGTGCTTCCTTCCCTCCATGGGAACACACTGAACAAGTGATAGAAATGCCTTGGGAAGAAATGACGTACAAGTGATTCACTTAAGCGAATTCAAATTGCCGAGTGAAGCCTGGGGAGTGGAGTAAGGCTCGATTGTGAGAGTGTTTGCTGGCCAAGCCCGAGCGCCCAAGTTCAGATCACAGTGCCCTGGTGAGACGCCTGCTAAGTTCAATCCTGGAGCCTACAGGGTAAAAGGAGAGAGCCGACTGCTGCAAGCTGTCCTCTGACTCCTCATGCATTCCATGGCACAAGTGCATGCCTCTGCCAGTCATCAATCAATCA